ACCGTGTTTGGGAGAAAGACTCGACCCTCACGTGTGACGGAACAAGACAAAGCCGTTTTGGTGAGCTGCTTGCGGCGTTAGCATCGGATCAGCCCCGCTACCACAGAACGCCAGCTAACACTAGAGCAGGGTTAGCCGATGTGTTTACCATTGGATTTTAATGTAATCAATACTCTCTCTCTCTCTGTCAAAAAAATCATTATATATAAATGAAATATGTCTGATGTCATTGTTGATGATATATCAAAAGTGTATATTAGTATATTTAGTTTATTGATGCACATCATAGTCATGGTATATTTCGTGTACTTGTACAAACAGTAGACACGTTTGTCACTTAGTGTAGTGTGTATTATTTTGCAGATTAGTCATTCTGTTTTTATATATTGTGCATTCAGTTAATTTCCTTGATGGAAGTTGTAGAGTTATCTGTGGCTCTGTGTTTCTCTCCCAGCAACTGAAGCAGCAGAGAGATAAACTGAAGCAGTACCAAAAGAAAATCACCTCTCAACTGGAGAAAGAGCGACTTCTCGCCAAGCAGCTGCTGAAAGATGGCAGGAAAGAGTGAGCATCAAAAACCTACAGCCTTCGAGTCACTACGCAAATTTCTGGAACTGATCAGAAATAGTACATAGTACAATTTACAGTATAATTAATATAATATGTCCTTCTATCATCCTGGATTCCCACCACAATAAAGTTACTCAACATATGAAAATGTAAAGGTTTTTCATTTTAAAGAATATTCAATACACAGTTAACCAGCTTTAAAAAAACAAATACAAAATGCAGTACATTTATACTCAAATGTCAGTTTATTAATAACACTAATGCAGTCTGACAGTCCTGCAATAAATCTTTTCTTCATGTAAGTCCTAACTTTTTATTAAAACTATTTTATAGAAGTCTCAGGCTCCATTCTGCACTGTATTATATTGACAGGTGTTCCTGTTGTTTTGTCCACCCCATACAAAACAACAAGGCTTAGGCTAACGAGTGACACTTCTCTTTGTATAAATGCAATGCAGCCTAACAGCCCTCGTCATTTTCTTTTGTTATCACAGCAAAGCACTGCTGCTTCTCAAGAAAAAACGATATCAGGATCAGCTGCTAGACAAGACTGAGAATCAAATTTCAAACCTGGAGCGCATGGTAAGTTATTTGAGATTAATCTGATTTCCTCTCGATATAAAGATCACTATCAGGCTTTGGCGCAGTATCATAATTCAGGAACATTTAACAATTTGTCACCGTTAGAGGAGCAAAGATTGTTTTTCTCTTCATTCACAACATCTTCTCTTTATTCAATTTAATCAAGCTGCATCAAATTGCACAGACTTTATAAAATCAGACAACATAATATATCTGATAATTTTAGTAATT